TGTTCGGGTGTCCAGTGTCATGGCATCCGCAACACCAGGTCCAGCTCCACCTGGAGGAGAAGGGGGTGCCCTACCAGGTCCGGAAGGTGCCACTGAGCCTCTACCGCATCGGCGCCCCCGACCCCGACCTCCTGGCCGACAGCCCCAGCGGGCTGGTGCCCGCGCTGCGCCTGCTGCGGCCGCTGCGCGGCCGAGGGTCGCCGGCGACCGGCCATGCCCTGCACGGGGCCTCCGAGCTGACGGGCTTCATCGAGGCCCACCTGCCCGGGCCGCCGCTGCTGCGGGGCGAAGGCGTGGACCACAGCCTCGCGCGCGTTTACTTGGACCTGGCTGGCGTGCTGGAGCAGCACGTGAAGTGGCTGGTGGGCGCCTCGATGGACGCCGCGGCCGGCCGTGGCGAGCCGCAGACGACCGAGCGAGAGGCTGGGCGGGCCGAGAGGTTCGTGACGGGGACGCTGGAGGAGCTCGAGCTCGCGCTGGCGGAGACCCCAGACGGCCCATACTTCTTCGGGCCCACTTTCACAGTGGTGGACATTGCCTTCGCCCCCTGGGTGGACAGGGCGTGCGCCGCCCTGGCCTGGCTGCGGGGCGTCTCCGCGCGCCCGCGGCTGCCGTCGCTGCGGCGGTGGACGGAGGCGATGGAGGCGAGGCCGCCGCACCGCTCGCTCCGCCTGGACGCGGAGACCCACGCGCGCATCTTCGCCGCGGCGCGGCCCGACGCGCTCCCGGGGCTGCCCGAGATCTCCTCCGCCCTGTGCTCCGCCGAGGCCGCGGCCACGGCCCCGGACCCCTCGGCGGCGCCCGTGGCGGCGGACGGCGGCGCGGCCGCGGCGGAGGCCGTGCAGTGCCTGGCGGCGTGCCGCGCGGGCGTGGCCGAGCTGGCGGCGCGGCGCGCGCCTGGGCTGGGCCCGGCGCTGCTGGACGCGCTGCTGCGGGCCGTGGCCGCGGCCACGCTCGGCCGCGGCGCCTCCGAGGCGCTGGCCGAGGCGCTCGGCGAGGCGGGCCTGCGCTCGGCCGCGCTCGGGGCCGCCTCGCAGGCGCTGGCGGCCGCGGCGGTGTTTGTGCGCTCGCGCGTGGCGGTGCCGCGCGACATGTCCGCCGCGGCCGCCGCCCAGCTGAGAGCGGCGCTGGCGGCGGTGGCCGAGGAGCTTGTCGGGCGCGAGGGGGTGGCCCGCCTGCTGCGCGCGGAGCAGGGGTCGTATGGCGAGAAGGTGGCCTTCCGCTCGCGGTGCTGAAAAAACAGCTTTTCCCGGCCACGGGCGCCGCTTCGGCTGCTCCGGCCCTCCCCTTGGCCCACCCTGTCCTCGGGGGCTCCCAGAAGGGGTGGTGACCACACCGTGCGATGAGTCGGTGGGGATTCGGGGTCACCGCACGGTTTTGGGACTCGAGTCGTTCTCCGAGGATGTATCGGGCGACAGGGGCCTCCAGGGTCCCAAGACCGTGCGGTGACGGACCGTGCGATGAGGTCTTGGGGGAATTCGAGGTCACCGCACGGTCTGTCACCGCACCGGTTCGGGACTCCAAATGTCCACCCGGGCAGTGGGGGCCGCCCCCCCTTCCGCCCAACTGCCGGACCCTGTCGGATCCAGGCTTGCGGTCGGCCAGCTCACCCCCGAGGTAAGTCAGTTGGAAATCTACTTTCCGCGAGCCGCGTCCGAAAACACAAGTCCTTGTTGCAGCGTGTTCCGGAGAAGCGTTTCCGGAGCACGCTGGCGAAGCCACAGGCTGAGTCCCAGTTTTGAGCAGATCGACCTTGTCATTTGTAGGAGTTTTGTCGGGCCGGAGGGGCCGTGCGAGGGAGAGAGATGCCGCACCGGGGCCCTCTGACGCCCCTCGGGCACTCGGCGCCCTGGCCGCTCTCTCGGGAGGGTTCGCGCGCGTGCACCTGCGGACGGGCCCAGTGCGCCACCGCCTTGTCTTTGTCACCCGGATTTTTTCACGGTTGCTTCTATTTTTTGTTGTTTTGTCGTTGTTGTTCCCGTTCTCCGTGCATGTTTTCGTTTCGCCGACTTGTTCACCGCTTGTTATGTTGCTGTTTGTTTTGTTATGTTTTTTCCTGAAGGTAGAACTCGGTACAACGGTGCCCCCCTTCAGTCAGCTCTTCGCCAGCGCAGACGACCCCTGCCTAGCCGCCGACGCAAAGTGTGTGTGTGTGTGTGTGTTTGTGTGCGCGCGTGTGTGCGTGTGTGTGTGCGCGCGCGTATGTGTGTGTGTGTGTGTGTGTGTGTCCGTGTGCGTGTGCGTGTGCGTGTGCGTGTGCGTGTGCGTGTGCGTGTATGTGTGTATGCGTGTGCGTGTCTGCGTGTGGTGTGTGGTCAGCGTGGCCAGAGCCATGTCATGACGCCTCGCAGATTTCATGGCCCTTCCCTTCTCCCTTCCACCCCCGTGTCTCGTCCGCGCCCTCTGCCTTGCGCCACGCTGCGCGCCTTTGCGCTTAAGTCGGGAGTGTCCCTCTACAGGAGGAATCTTCGAGAATTGTCAGAAAATCGTATGGAGATGTTTTTCTTTCATTTTTGACAATGTTTGACTATTTGATGATTCGTTTTACATATGTTTCTAAAACCCGCCTGTCGGAGGACATGCCCGACCTGACCCTGCGCCCTTTTTCCGCGCACCCGGGATCGGTTCTGGGCGGGGTTTGCCATGGACGCCCAGCGGTTCGACAGAATTGCGCCGGAGTTCACCTGGGCATGAGCAGACAATCGCCGGCCGTGGCTGGTTTTTCTCTTTGGCTTTTTTTTTTAAGATTCGGGCAAGTCTAATTGCATGGACGAGGGGGGGCCTGAACCTGAAGCAAGCAACAAGCGACATAACGTGTGGAAATCACGTAAGTCGAAAAACGCTTGCACGCTTGTGTTCGTTCGAAGAGGGGCGAAGGTGGTGGGTGGGGGGGAGGGGGGGCGAACGCCATGCAAGTAAACTTGCACGGATATAAAAAGGTGGGCTCTTGTCGCCCAGGACGCGCTTCGTCAGGGCCGGTGTGCAGCTGGCATCTCAGGCAATCTATCAGATTGCCAGCAGGCGTGCCGCACTTGGAGCTGGCTGCGGTCAGTATCGTTCGACCCATCCCCATCCACACAAGGCCATGTTATCTCAACCCCACCACCCCAGTTGGGGATAGGCACCTCCGAACCCGAAGGGGGCAGCCTATCACGATCCCCTTGGAGAGGGGGAGATCGGCCAGTGGGGTCCAGGCCAAGCCACCGGGGATAGGGATCGGTCCGTCGGTTAAGCGGTGCTCATGGGGGACTAAGGTTCGCGCTGTGTCGACGCATCGGCGATCCCGCTGCGGTCGTTCAGGGCTGCACGTCGCCAATGGCCCGAAGTCGGCCAATGTCGAGCGATCTGGCGATCGGAAAAAGCAGCCCATCATTCAAGGTTGAAGATCACGGACGACGTCATGCACCTTTAGATTTCGGACGGCGAGATTAGTGATCCTTGCCTGCACCCGCAGCAGGCGTGCAGTTTTCCAGCGCCGGTGAACGAGATCAACTAAGACATTGCGGCGCCGTTCACAGCATCCCGCCTAGACGGGTTTTGTCCGCACCCGTGTGCGCGCGCATACATCGCGTGACCTTCTGCCCCAGTGGCGCCTACACGCGCTTCGCCGGTGCTGTTTTTGCATCGAAGCTTGAGGGAGGAGACCAAATGTTGCTTTGCGGATGACCCCCCAGTTGTTTCAATCGACGCTTGGTTTTCGCTGGCGCGCGTGAGGAAAAGTGTGTGTGTGTGTGTGCGTGTGTGTGTGTGTGTGTGTGGGTGTGTGTGGGGGTTGTGCGCGCGCGCCTCCTGCTGCCCCGCGCGGTAAAAAATGTGTATGTGTGCCCCTGCCGGAGTGGATGCACCGTGGAAGAGCCCCCCCCCGCCCCACCCCCCCCGCGAGGGCGACTGCTGGCCGGGCGCTCCCTATTTCCAGGCCGTGGCCAAGGCTCTGGGACGGAAAAACAACAAGCAGAGCAGTCACTACAGGCCGCCGTCGGGCGCCTGTCAGCGTGTCATTCCCTCTTGGCGCATCGAGAGGCCGAGCTGTCCTTCAAGAAGTCATGCGCCGATGACTTCCCCACGGCGGCATGTCAAGAACATCGTTGTTATTGCTCCAAAGGCAGCGGCGTGGGCAGCACTCGCGCTGGCCCTGGTCGCCGTCGCGGGGGCCCTGTTCTGCGCGAGCGGCCTTGGCCTTGGCGACGCCTGCGGCCCCGACGGCGACTGCCTGGGTGATTACTTCGGCTCTCTGGGCCGGAGCCTTCTGACCCAGCTGGACCTGCTCTTTTTTGAGGCGGCGGGGAAGGGGGGGGGAAGCGTCGGCTTCGCCGGGGGTCTGCTCCTCTCCGTGCCCGCTGACCCCTGCTGCCTCGATGGTCCTCCTCGTATTCCCTGTGTTCTTTGGTCCTCCTACTGTCCACGTCTCCCCACCTGTCCTTACCTTTGTTCTCCTGCGTGAGGGGAGAAACAGGGAGAGAAGTAGAGAGAACAACGAACAATGACAAGAAAACAAACAGAGAGAGAGAGAGAGAGAGCAACAGAGAGAGGGAGTTTGTGTGGGAGAGAGAGAGGGAGAGCGAGAGGGAGAGAGATGACGATACATACATACATATATATATATATATATACATATATATATACGTATATATAGGTGTGTGTAGAGAGGGAGAGAGGGAGAGACAGAGTGAGAGAGAGAGAGAGCGAGAGAGAAACTGAAAATAGAGAGAGAGAGAGAGAGAGCGAGAGAGACAGAGAGAAAGAGACACACACAGGCAGGCAGCAATATGCGTGCCCTTCTCCTCGCATTCCTAGCCCTCGTTCTCGCCAACATCGTCCTGTCACTCAACCTCTTCCTCCTTTTCCTCTGCCAACTGCCACAGTGATGTCGACAACCGCACACGACTATCTGAGTTCCGGGAGTGCGTCCAGGTATGAAGGGAAAACAGCGGCAAGGGTGACGTCGCTCGGAGCTGGAAGACGGGATCGTTGAACACCAACGCGTGCACGAACATTGACCAGTCGGGGCTGGACAGAACCCCCAACAGTGACACGTCGATTAGTGAATTGTCCGTTTTCGGTTCTCGAGAGGGCGCCGCGGCCGTTATTTTCCAGGCTTTTCGCCCGCCAAGTTTGGGCCTCAGGTCGTTTTCACTAAACCACGTTGTACTAAAGGGGGGTCTGTCCATCCCCGAACCAGTGTTTGGCGCGCGAGCTGTTCGAAGGCGATGTGGTGCTCTTCCAGAGTCCAGGCTCAGCGAAGTGCGAACGACGAATCCCGAGGAAAATGTTTGTCGTCGGGGATGGCGCCCTTGTGGAGGTGCTGCGATTCCTTCTCAAGTGGGTGGGTTCGCTACGGGAGGCTTGCCGAATCGTCTTCGCGGTGAGCACGTTTTTTTTTCGGAGCTGTGTGATGGGCGATTGCAGCTGCTTCACCACGCGGGACTTACCGTCGATCCGCATAGCACGGACGAGCGACTTTCTAAGGGCAGGTACTTGCATGATTGCCCCTTCGGCCCATGTTTGCCGCTCCCCGCTCGCAAAGTGTAGAAGTGGCCTTCCAAGGCCCTCGCATCCTTGTCGTGCGTCCTTATTCTACGGGTTGACTGCACTCTTGGGAAGTGGTAGTGGTGAACGTATCCTTCGAGTCAGGCGTCGGGGTTAATGCCTTCAACCTGCACGCCCTGCGCGAACTGGCGCGCAGGTTGCGCGAGTACGGCCGTTCATCTGTGGTCGGAGGCGACTTCAATTTTACGAAGGAGCAGCTGGAGAACAGCGGATTGTTGAAATACTTCGACCAGGTGGTCGGGAACACCTTGTGAGCCACGTGCGTGCAGTTTCAGGTTTGCATCAACATGTCCATCGTGTCCAAGGCCATGAAGCCGGTGAGCATTCAGTTGGTGAGTTGGTCGTCAGTCCACCCGCACAGTCCAGTGATCATGGAGTTGGAGGCGTCGAGAACGCTTCCTTGGATTCGCATGATGGAGGTGCCCAAGCCTGTTCCTCAAGCTCGCCCTGTTTGAGGCCTGGCCATGCCGCGCAGCGGGGCATCGTGGGCTCAGAGATGCAACAGCTGCTTGAGCTTAGCCATTCGGTCGGGTGGGTTGGTGACATTTCTCGTGGGACCTCGCCCACGCCTGGCCAACTTGGGTGCGCGAGCGGGCGAAAAACGTTCCAGTCGGAGCGCGAGCGAGATGCGGTCCAGACCAACGGCGTCGTTCAAACATCTGACGCAGACATCGCCAGCCCTCGGGCACAGCCGGCGAACGAAATAGGTCCTTAGGCTGCGACGGATCGCCACCGCGCCGAATGTGGCGGCGTGCGTGTATCAGCCCGTCACTCGGCTCGGAACCCTGCAAGGTGCTCGCGGGCGGCTAGAGATGCCTCCCAATCTGGTCAAAGGCAGGCCTGATCTGGACGGGGCCTCGCCCTGTGCTCGCGCTGCGCCCGCGGCGTGGCTTCGGTGGCAGTCGTTTGGCAGATTGCGCCTCGAGCGGCTCGGTCCCGGGCTGCTGCGAGCCCTCGGCGACAAGGCGCACGCCGCTGCCTTCGCCCTTGCGGAGCGCGACGTGCCCGTCCAGACAGGGTAAGGATCACGCTTTCGATTTTTTTGGCCCTCCGCACTGAGTCACTCCGACCCCCCCCCGCCAGGTGGGCACCGCCGTGGGCGCGCACCAACCCCTATATGGACCTCCAGCCACTGGGGAGCCCGGCGCCTTTCCTTGCCGCTGACATCGTGTCGCTGGTAGGGCCCCTCTCAGCCGTGCTGGGACGATTTTGGAAGCTTTTTGGGCCGTCCTTGACGATGTCAAAACGAAACAGGTGAGTATGCAAAGAAAGTACGCTTTTTCCTCAGGGGAAGTGACGGCAACGGCTGAAGACGACGATATTTGGTCAGCTGCGAGTCGGGCGAGTTCGTGCCTCAAGCCTTCGCTCGTTTCGGTGCGCGGAGGGCTCCTTGTCCCGGCTGCTCCGCGCGCTGCTGCTCTGTTAAGCGTCGGCGCTTCACCGTCTGTGCAAACAAAGAGAAGGCGTTGGGGACGCGCTCAGTGGGTACCCGGTTCTGGTCGAAGAAAGCCCCCCCCTCTGCCAACCGCGTGAAGATTGCGTTCTTGCAGAGCCAACGAGAGCGCCAGGGCGAGTTCTCGTCGACCAGGTAGGACTCCGGCGCGTCCCAGTCCACTGTTGCCACCACGGCGACCCCGTACAAGTACTGCGGGTACGCGTGGACGTTCGTGGCGCTCTGTCCCCCGCGGGACTTCGTGTTCCTCGCCTGCAGCGCAGCCCTCCACCGGAGCAGCTATGCCCACGAGTTGCAGCTGTCCAGCGCCAAGCCGTCATGCTGGTCGCACTGAAAGCTGCGGAGGTCCAAGTGCTCTGCCTCCTCCACAGTCAGCACCAGCGGCTTGCTGAAGAGGCTCTCCGCGTAGCTCGACTTTCCAAACGCACTGTCGGCCGCGAGAGCCAGAAGTTCCCACCGGAAGTTGAGTGACAGGAACGACTCCTCCTACTCGCGCACGGCTGGGAACTCGCGAAAGGGCGGCCGGATCTTGTCCAGCGCGGAGTCCACGAGGGCGACCCGATCGTCGATCCAGGCCTCCTTCTCCGCCGCGCGGACTGCCTCGACGTTGCGCTTCCTCTCTCTGCGAAGCCTACCCGGACTCGCAATGCGAGGGCCTCGTAGTTGTCGTTGTCGAGCTTCTCGTCTGTCCAGAGGTCGTGCAACCACTTGCCCTGCGCGCGGTGCTTCCACGGCGGCCGGCTGCCGCCCCTGAAGAGCGCCCCTTTTTTCGGCGCCCAAGCGTAGAAGTGGGCGCGGTTGCTTGCCTCTGCCAAGCTAGCCCCCCCGGGGGCCTTCAGCGTGCCCGTCGGTGTCTGGCTGGTTAGCGCCACCGTCGGGCGGGCATCTGGCACGACGCCGTGAAAGGCAAACGCAGCCAGAGTTGCGTTGTCGATGGCAGTTTATCTTCCAATGGAAGTGAACGCGCCCAGCGTCTTCGCTTTCCAGGGGCTCCTCCAAGGTGGGCGTGCTTTGCTCGACTCCCAGCTCCTTCTTCTTGCGCTTCTTCCAGTCGCGCCACAGCGCCCAGGGGCCCTCGTTGGAAGCTGCCGGGGGGGGCGCCGTCGGGGAAGGCCTTGTCCGTGAAGAGGTGGTTGTAAGTGAGCAGGAAGCAGCGGCCGCGCACTCGGAACCCTTTGGCAGAATTTCCAGAAGCGTCGTCTCCGGGACCTGCCGCGCGCGCGCATTCAGGGGCCGCAGGGAAGCTAGCCAAGTGGGCGGACACCGCGTCCTCCAACTTCTGCCTGTCTTCCCGCTCTAGCGGTTTCTTCCGGATGTCGGTGACCATAGCCATTACCTTCTCCCGGGCTGCATTGTCTCTGACCTGGGCAACGCCGCGCGCGGGCGATCGCCCTCAAGGGTTTGACGAGCTCCGCCCTGGCGGCCATGGCCACGCAGGGGAGCCGGATGGCGACGGGTATTTGGATGCTGAATCGCCCATCGCGCCCACGAAAGTTTTCCCGAATTTGGCTCAGTCACCATCTCGGCGGTGACGGTGGAGTTTCTTGGGGCCCCTGGTCTGGCACCCCGTCTGGACATCGGTTCCGTGTTTCGCAGGCCCCCGTTCTCCTTATCGCCCCCGTGAAATCGGTCTTGCGTCTCTCCGGCCTCTTATATCGATGCCTCCCGTGGGGGAGTCTTGGAGGAGAAGCGCGATGGCGATGTTGTTGACGACGGCGATAGCGACGACGATGCTGATGATGAAGCGAATGGCGCTGGTTCTCCCGAGTTGCTGAAGGCCCCTATGGGGCCTTCAGCATCTCGGGAGAATCAGCGCCATTCGCTTGAACAAAAAGAACGCAACATTACAACATCTCACAGGTGCTTCGCCGCTCGGGCGCGCTGTCTATGGGGAAGGCGCACCGCTGCCGAAAGACCAGAGCAAACCTTCCATGAACAAACAATGAATGCTGCGTGATTTCCAGGTCCGACCTGGCAACTTTCATGTCGACCTGAAAACGCCCAGGTGCCCCGTGTGCATGAAGTAATCCACTCTGGTGACGTATTCAGGTTTCTACACCGCGAGGTACCATTTAGACATTCATTGTCAGGTCGACCTGAACGCACCACCCGCGCGACAAAACAATGGATGACGCGTCTCCGGAGGAAATTGTCAGGTCCAACCTGGAAATTGTCAGGTTGACCTGAACATGCCGAGGTGCCCCACGTATATCAAATTATACACCCCGGTGGCATTTTCAGTATCCTACACCGTCTGGCGATAATAATAATAATAA